CGGGCATCGACCCTTTGTTTTGGGAGCAGAAGGCAGGAGGGTCACAGCTTCACCAGCTCTTGACCCAGGCTGCTGCCGCGCTGCTGGGTGCGTGCCAGCCCCTGGTGCACGCTCCTCTCCCTGGGGACGTGAGGTTCAACCCTCCCAATGAGTCACCCTGCCCTCCACTGGCCTCGGTGGCACCAGCCCACACAACAAGTCATCGAATTGAGTCATCTGCTGTGAATATTTTGTTTATCGGTGCTTTGTATTTGCACTCCTGTGCTCCGATGTTGGAGATGCTTTTTCTAGCTCTAATGTCATTCTATTTTTGTACGATATTTAATTAAAGAGATACAAGGAATAAATATTGTAAAAATATATACTCAATGTCTATTCACATGCTGAAATTAATACATATATCCTGAATGGAGCATTAAAAAAGATGAAATCAAGACAGCATTTTCTCATATACCTAGTTTTGAACTCTGGACTTCCTAGTGCATAATGCATTAGGAAAAGGGGTTCAGTGGACATTAAATTGTTCGCTACAAAAAAAATTCAAGATGGTTCTTGTGTCTCCTACATTCTTGAAACAATAGAGAAAACATTTCGGCTGAATTGATTACCTTGTGTTGTGGAAGCAGTAGCCAAGCTTGCTTGACTTGTGAAATCTGGAGAGGCCAAAGATATCGACTGATGCTCTAAAGACAAACAGATTACATGGTATCACACTTAGTTGATAGGATCTTTTAAAAATAAGACTAATAAATCATAAAACATCCTGGATCAAAGAGCTTGCAGTAGCTGTTAGGTTAACATGGACTGTGAGGCAGGAATCCCAGTCAGACTTAAGGTTAAATGCTCGAAACACATCTCACAAACTCAAGGGGCAATCTGAGACAGCTGACTTTATTAATGCAGACCCTTTCACATGGACTAGCTGTATGCGTTATTAATTTACATTTTTATACACAGGGTTCAATTTAGCTGCAGTGGGGTGGATTTTGCACTTGAAGGTGGTGCTCCCCTGCCTAGCCAGGGCCTTGCCAGAGACAGTTCTGATGATGTGCGCCAGCCGTATAAGCCCAGGAGGTCGTCTGCTCCTGTGGGTTTTCCTGTCAATTGCTGAAGATAGTTTTATACAGTTATCCATATGCATGCTCTGGTAAAGCAGTGGTATGTATCTTATATCATTAATGAATGGGAATGAAGAACTACTATTGAGACAAGGAAAAGTGGTGGTTTTAACTTTTCTATGACAGGCACCTCTCAGGCATAATAGGACAAATGTATTCACAGTTGTATAGCGGGTTTTAGTCCATTATGTGAAAAGGTATAAGAATAATATACGATATTCAGCATTTTACATGCTGTCCTAACACGACAGTTTTAGTAAGATTTGTGTCAGATCTCTTCTTGGGTAACTTCATAGCTCACAAATTCCTGTCCAACAGCATACAGGTACCATCGATACCAGAGTGCGCTGACCTTTCCCTGACACTCTTCTGGCTCTGCGTACACGACATTTAAGCACAGGTCAAGCAGAGATCATACATCTATTGACTGAGTAATAAAGAAGGGTTTTTTTCCCCCCTTACCTGAGGTAGTCATGACAGCTGATGGAAGCGCTGAATTTCCAAGGTCTATAACAAATCAAAGCAAGCACTTTTACTGAGGGTGAGAAAGGTGTTTATTCTGCTTTAGAAAAGTGGGTCATTCAAGAGTTCAAGAGTGAGAGAGAGTGCACCACACTTAATTTCCAAATAATCTTTCAATGCACAACATAATAAACGGTCCAGCGAGAATCAAGAAACACCTGAGGTAACTGTTCTGTGAAACCCAGAAGGAAACAAAGGTTTTTTGGGGGGAAAAGGTTTGGAGTCCCGGGCCCCTCCAGTCTGAGTCTTCAACTCAAAACCCAGAAGTGAGTTACGTGATTTTATCTCATACAAACAGAGGCACCTTACTGGTGTGCAGGTTAAAATAAATATAAATTATTTAAAAATAAAATATGACTCGGTGGTGAGGCCTGCATAGCTCCATCCATGAGGCATTTCAGACACTGCAATCCTGATAGGAAATTTCAGGGACACTTTGCACTGATAAGTGCTTGCTGAGTCTTCAGAGAATGGGAGAGAGAGGGATTTAATCCTTCTAATTAAAGGACTGTTAACTAGCCGGCCAAGCACAGCAGAGACACCATCCTGCCCAAGCAGTATTTACATCCTGATTAAGAGCTGTCTCACTTTTTTTTTTTTTTTTTTTTTCCCAGGAGGTGAGGCAAAGTATCTCCTGAATAGCTTAGGAGGAGGGATTAAACCTCCCCAAAGGGTTCCATGAAGGAGGTGAACCATGAAAGCTCGCACACCCCATTGGAAAAAGATATCTGAGAAGGCAGCCTAAGTACCTCTCTGTGGCCAGGTGTGCTGGGAGGTTGGACAGGGACTGATCCTCTGTGGACAGAATCTTAGTATGAGTAGGTAATCATCAACTCCCCAGTTGCTCTCTTGTGCAAGCGTCTGTACCTCCTTTGACTATTTTGAGTGTTGCTCTTCCATTTGCACTCCATTTTAGCCTCTCCTGTGCTGACAGGGATTTCATAGTGTCTGGCTGACATAAGAGGATCCCTTACCAGAGATGCAGAGGGTCTAAAAGCAGGGTAGTGGGGCACCTCGAGGTGTGCTCAGCTTACACTACATTACTGCAGAGCGTGCAAGGCGAAGCATGGTGGTGACCTACGCAAGCTGCCAGGGCTGCTTTGAGACATCACCTTGCAGGGGCCAGCGGAGGACAAAGTCTCTCTCTCAGGGACCCCTGGTACCTGGGTTAGCTTTCTGGTGTCCAACAGGGTATTGGGTGAACCCCCAGGGACTGCCACAACCTGCATGCACAGAAGCAAGCTTACACAGAAAACCCAGGCTGTTTGTCTACAGCGTATCTCTGCTGCACTCACGTAAGCCACCGGTGGAACACAGCTGCCTCCCGTGCGGAGCAGAGCGAGTCGCCCCGGGAGACGCATCTCCAAAGGGCTTCCGCTGAGGTGTGGAGGGAACGATTTACCTGTCTGCAGTAAGCTGATAATCAGACAAACTTGCAGGGGCAGAGCGTGGATTTAGCAAATTTATGCAAATTAAGAAACATCCGTCGGTTCTTTAATTAGGCAAAAATGTTGGGGATCTTGGCTGTCTACTTAAGCAGAAGGTAGAACCATTAGTAGGGCTGTTATTTTTAATTATCAGTTGAGTGCTGAAAGACCTATATTTGAATGCCAGCTGAAGCATCAGAAATAACTTTAAGTGCCCCTCAAGGCTGGAGTTTAATCATGTTTGGGCTTAATTATGATAGATTAAGTCACCAAAATATCTGTTCATTGTATCTTCTCTGAAGTCATAGTTGCAGAAGGGGGTACCTTACTACTAATCCAGAAACAAGTTTGCAAAACCATTTCTCCAACAGCTTTAGGAACTGGTAGATGCACCTTTAACATAACCCAAATTATTTCATTCGCTAATTTATCCTACCTTCTGAAGCCATGGTAGTAAAATGTTCGGGTAAGGCTTCATTAGACTTATTGTCTGTGAAGAAAAAAAAAAAAGAAAGATGAAAGCAGTTCTGAAAAGTGGTTAGGCTTTTGTTAAAAAGGTTGAAAATTTAGTTTGGGGTTTGTGTCATACTGTGCATTAGTACGGCACCTTCACAGAACATAGCTGAGAATTAATTTAATACTTTCCTTTCTGTCACATCTAAATACATTAGCGTTTTTATACAGAGTGGATCTATCTTAGTGTTAATACAGCCTGCAGGCAAGAAAGCAGACTTCTTTAATTGACAGCTCTTAATTTGAATGCATTTCTGCAAATTGGGCGAAATGAGTAATTTTGGAGAAAAATGACCATTTCTCTCTCTTCCCCCTGAAGCTGTATTTCCAGAGGAGCAAGATCTGGCTTTCGATGCTGTCTTTCTTCCTGGAAAAACATGCCAACAAGTGTACCCACAGCCACAAGTGAACACAGCTGAGCTGCAAGTAGTCACCACGGTACATGACGTGCCCATGGAGGTTGCTAAGGGGCAGCAATTCAGTTGTACTATTCAGTTGCACATCTCCTGCTTTCACCAAGTACTTGAGACAGCATATCTCTACACTCCTCTAATCATGTAGCTAATTCTTATAGTACAGGTTATAGGAGAGGTTCTCCATTGCCCAAAATGATTCAACTGTTTTAGGGGCCTTTTGCAGGTTTCACTGAAGATGTATAATATATCTCTGACTCTGTGGGTTGGATTTTCCGGAGAGCTTCATTGCACACATGCAGACTTTCTGCCAGGAGTGCTCAGTGAGAAACACATGATTATAGTAGCTCACTGGTGCCATGTGGCTAAGCTACTGTATTTTGGGGTATGGGAATTGCAGTAAGATAGTGCCTAAACAAACAGCAAGCATCTTACATTTGTGCAGGAGTTGTTTAGTTTGTTTAGAGTCTTCAGCAAAGACTTAAGCTGAAAAACCTGGCAGAAAGTTCAGGCTGTGTGATGATCTTGTACAAAAAAAACCCTCCACACACTTGGCATTTCTTCACTGTTTTAAATAACAGAGAATACATATGTTCAATTTTCTTAACATTTTATATTTCAGGTGCATCCTATCTATGAAAAACCTACCGAGGGAAACCAATATTTCTTCTGATGAAATAGTCCATTTTTCATTCCTGAAAAACATACATGCACACGAGAACGTCTTATGTGTCCGGTGGTTCCCTTGCAGCATCAGCGTTGATGTCAGCTGATAGAAACCTTCACTGTCTTGCGAGTCTTCTTGTGCAACAGAAATTTCTTGGGGAAAGAAAACAAAGAAAATCTGCAAGAACCTCTCTTTAGACTCCGAACCATAAATCAGAGCTCTGCAAAATATTGGTACTGAAAGGCAAGCTCAGATGGCTGCAGGTTTCTTTGCTGAGACACTATGAAAGATTTAGCAAGAACAGAGCAGTTATGCCAAGCCATCATTCCCATCACTGACAATTGCAGGGGGCGATGGTCACAGCTGTTTGCCAGCTGTTCCCTTTGAGCAAATCTGATCAGCTCCTCCACCCCGATGGACACCTACAGGCTCCCCACCGTAGGAGCAGTTAAGCAACCATCATTTTTCTTGGGAACCACTTCTACATCTGTACCGTTATCCTGTTGAGAGGTTGCATTACCTCCAGGCTGCTCCGTCAGGCTCGCTCTGTCCACGTACCACAGGAGGCTCGGCTTGGGAAATGCCTTCCTCACGACGCAGCTTACGTTAAGCTATGGGGCAGAAAAAGCCAGTCATTAGCCTGTGGCTTTTCTCACTCGGCTGTCAGCTTCCAAAATCGCTTACAGACACAGCTTATTTACTCGCCATCCCGCCTGGGAAGGAAGCACTTCCTTCCTCTTTATTGCATTTCTTTCCCCCTCATTTTTCTGGTTGGAGACGCTGTTGGGAGCCCAGGGACACTCCCATTGCCTTGGGCCAGATGTGGAGTTATGGAGCTCCAACACTTCCAGTCCTGTGCCATGGCTGGAGAGACATAGGGTGACCCCCCACCATCCCGCCCCTTGAGGGCAAACACCCACATGGAGAAACACTGGCATCAGGAATGGGCATGGTGTGTGGGGGGAGAATGAGACACCTCCTGACGGCCATGTAAATTCTTCTTTCATTAGGCAGGTAAGGAGGAAAATCCCATGATAAAGACTGCCTAGCAAGGTGATATGTTTAATATACAAAATTAGCTACCTTTGTAGAGGGTATGATATGTAAGAGGTTTTTGAAAGTCACAAGGAGTTGTGTGCTTTACATGCAGTGTCCTGGCTGTACGTCAATTGCTCCAAAAATCTATATTTGTGCTCAATTTAATTTCTCATCAAGCAATAGATGGGAAGGACCTCAAAATCAAGGCTGGATAAAGGGCTGGGAACTAGCAGGGTGGGAGGTCTCATCCGCACGCTGCCTGGATGTTCCCAATTACATTTACTTAGTAGCTGACGGCATTAAGAGAAATTGCGTTGTCCATTTAAAGAACAACAACAACAAAAAAAATCATGTGCTACTCACACAGCACAAAGCCGTCTTGCTTCCACTTTCGAAGAAAGTGGTTCACACATTTAGTTGAAAGCAAGCTTTATGCATTGCAGCAAGCAGCAGTCAATCATTCAGTATGAAGACTGAAACTACCCAGCAGAAACTCTTTACTTGCCAGGGTAAATAAACTATGAACTCATAGTGTAATTGCTTTCCCCTCTTTTCTCTTCATGATTCCCTTATTTTTCATCCACTTTTAGTTCATAATATTTTTATAAATGCTTTTCGTGAAGAAATACAAATCTGACATCCCCTGCAAGAAAGCGTGGAAAAGAGAAAGAAAAGAGTCGGTGTTTGGAGGTGAAGAACAGACACAGGCTCTTGGAAGAGTTTCTGTTGCCTGGTCCCATGGTAGCAGCACCCCTTGCTCTGCTCAGCAGGACAGTGCAGGCAAATGCCTGCAGTGTCCAAGACCACACCTGGAAACAGGCCATCAGGAAGATTACACTGGTTTTGCAGAACCAGCTGACTCATGGCTTGTCTAACCACAGGTGGAGATGGTTATTGCAAGGTTCTGCCTGCCCACAAGCGCTGTTTCCAAGGAAAACTTTCTTAATTTGGGATGCCCACAGATCAAAAGCTTCAACCTGGACAGATGCAACAGGAAGCAAAGTGTCATAGCGAGTAGCCGGAGCAGCTTGCTAGTCAGACATATGGGCCACAAATATGTTTCATGTCAAGTACGGCCAGCGTGGTACAGCAGACTTTCCCTTTAGGTTTTGCCTGTGCCAAGCAGGTGATAAAACAAAGGCCCCAAATCACATGTGTAAGCGCTCAGCTCTAAACAGGGGCCCTCAGACCTAGATCCAGTCCCTCCACCGGCCCCGGACTGCTCCAGCTGAGTTGTGCTCGGAGCATGACACATTACGCCTGACAAGACCATCCCCTGTCCATCGGCATGCCAGGCCACGTCTGTGCCCCGAGCACCGCTCCCACCGTGCCTCCTACTCCCTGTGCCCAGGGGGGCTTGTGTTGGGCAGGGGCTGCTGCTGCCTACCCCCTCGGAGCGGCATCCCGGGTGGGCTTCTTTCAGAGAGGGGTTTTATGCAGAGGGGAGAGGGCAGCTTGAGGCTGCTGGGCGGTAGCCGGCAGATGGAGAGGGAAAGGGAGCATCGCAGCCCCCTGCAACACCACCAGCTCCTCACAGCCTCTCATCCCTTTGCTGGAGCCTCCCCTAGGCCTAATCCAAAATGAGATTTTGCCCACAGCACGGAGAAGCCCTTAGCTAGCTCCAGTTCGTGCTCACTGAAGCAGCTCGCTGCTGCAGGGGTGGGAATCGCTCAGAAGAAAAGCTACGAATGGCTGACACTAACTCATTGACTTGCTTGCTGCCCTGCGAGCTTGGTCAGTTAGGAGGTCCCGCCTGCACCTGGTCCCGCTCAGCCTGCCTGACCCTGCTGGGGTGGCACGGTGACGGTCATGGTCATTACACTTCGCTCCAAAATCGCTCACCTTTTGCGAGGTGCCAGCTGAGCCCTGCTGCAGGCTAATGGAGATCTCAGGGTGGGCTGGAAAGCAAACAGAAATGTATTAGTGAAGTGGATACCGAAGGTCACAATAACAGCATCTAATGAGACGTAACAGGCTTGTTTCATAAAAAGAGTGGAAATGAAATCCTACATCCACCCACACACCTAGCAAGATAAAAGCTTGCACAGCTCCGATTTGAGGCTGAGGAAGTGGTTTACAAGCATGTACCAGCAGCTACCACCACGAGACCCATGCTGTACCTCACTGCCTATCTAAACCACTCTTGGGTGGCTTTGCTGGAGAAGCGAGCACAAACCATCCTGCAGTCATGGCTCCAGCAGCAAAGCCACCCTTCCTGGGCCTGCTGAAATACAACACTCCCCGGGTGTTGTTTCCTCTGGCCGTTTGCCAGTCGAAGTCGCCTGCAGAGGCTTTAGCCATCCCCAAAAACGCTGACTGATTTTGGGTACCAGCTAGCCACGTGCTGTCGCCTGGGCAGACGTGTGACCGTGTCACGCCACAGGCACTTCCCGCCCTGCCAGCAAGCCCAGAGCTCGCCTCCGCACCAGAGCAGCCGGTCTCTGATGACCACAGCCACATGAAATGGAAAAAGTGTTTTCTTTTGTTTTCGCAGCATTTTGGTTCTAGGGGTGGCTGACTAGTATAGATAAATCTACCAGGTGCCGTAAGCCACTATAAGTTAGCATTTCTAAAATATCCATTGGGATCACTGGTTTGCAGTGTTATTAAGTGACTTGTTAAGTAAGGACTGTTGAAACTGTGCTAATATACAGCAAATCTCAAAAGCCTTGGGTAAATTGTTCTTCTGGCTCTTTCTGAGCCTTAAAACTGGACTGGAAACAAGTGCAGCACCTGGATTGCTTCATTATCCATAATTCTTTCTCTTTCCAATCTAAACCTCTTAAAAGAGTTTTATTTTCTTTTTTTTTTTCTAACTCTGTTATGGTCACCTCAGTTCATTACACTCCCCTCTGAGGTGAACTGCTCACTTACTGCTCACTTTTCCATGTTGTTTTATACAGCGCATCCACCAAGGACTTTCCTGCCTTCTTTTTTTAATCTTCGGTTTTTCTGCCTAGTGTTACAGATGGATTATGCCTGGGGCTGACCTATATCTAATTACCATGGCCTTATGGTTTTCTGGACTTGGGGTACTTTGTAGGTGGAATTTCCTTTTATTTTTTTTTTTCTTCTGTTGTTTTTACTTTTTGTGGATCCTTCCTATCAGAAAAAGAATGTCTTAAGATTTTGTCCTTGTTTCTGCCTTGCCAACACTGTACAGATGGTAACGGAGCTAGCAGAACACAACCATACTTTTTCAGATGTAAGAAAAAGTCTGGTAAATGGGATCTTCTAATCTCTGCTAAAAGCTAGCTGAGGGACTAAATAACACCTAGTCTAGTGCCTGCTCTTCTTTTAGTTTTTTTTTATGAGAACAGGTATGCTTTTCCACATCTGCATTGGATGAAGTTCTCTGCTTTCCCAGAAGACATGTCTGCTGGGTAGCTATTCTGGCAGGCAAATCTCAAGTACAGCTCTGAATGATCTAATAGATCTTTTCCATTTAACATCTCAGCCCCCGTTAACAGTTTGACATTCATTTGTCTTGCTAGGATATTTACAGATGTTTTGGGTCTAGCAGAAATTCAATATTTAGTATAGTAGTTTCTGCTGCTGAGCTTTTACTCTTACAAAAAGGAGAAATCAATATTTGGCAGTTAGAAGTGAAAAGGCCATGTATTTTCTCAGAAATTTGTGTCTAAAAGAGCTCTGTTTTAGAAAAGAAATTTTTTAAAGCTTTTTAGTCCAAAAGTAACCTGTCAAAAAAAATCTGTCTCGATGGAATGTCTATTTTTCTCAACCTATCAAGACTCTTAGCTTCATTGAGAGACTTGTTCATGCCTTCCCCATCCTCTCCTGCTCAGCTCTCAGTCACACTCAGGCCACCTCAAACGTCTGTGGGGAAGCACCACTGCCACCCGTCTGACCTGGGCTGTTCTCCTGAAGCGTTTGTCAGAGGGATTCTGTGCATGGAGCTCTCCCCAGGCGACAGTACCTTCCTGTCCTCCTCCTCGCTCTGCCCGTTACAGCTCTGCATTGCACCAGGTGCCTGCCTTCCCTGCCCTTCTTTCGTGCCACCCAGACCTTGGGGTTCAATTGCACAAGTGTTTGGGTGGCAGGAGGGATGCTGGCTACCTGAGATGGGAAAGTCTCCTAGGTTTCAGTTGGCCTTGGTTCCCTAGCTATGTCCTTCCTAGTGGCCAGGATGACAGATAGAGCCAATAGAATATGCTGTTGACTTTATATATGCTTACTTTCATGCTTTAGATCCTGCCTTGGTCATTTGAGGCTAGGTCTACCTGCTAGGACATAAAAGTTCATTTCTCCATGCCTTGGTCAGCTTTGACACAGGAACAAGAGAGGTTGTGTCACCTGACGTGGCTGTTTATCTGTCCCCAAATGTCAATTGGAGATTGCTGGATTATTCTGGCCACTGCCTCTGCCTGTTCTCTGCCAGCTGCTGCCCTGCCGGTGCATGGGTGTCTGGGCTGGTGCAGGGGTGGCTCTGGACTATCTGCTCTTGGTCTCCCCTCCTGCTGCAGCACAAGAGAGGCAAATGGAGAAAAGCTGCTATGATGCAATCGTAAGCAGTGTGACTTCAGTGAACACTAACAAAAAAAAAAGAGTGAGACAGCATGAAAAATAGTTATTTTACCTATAAAATACCAGAAGTGATAGGGTTAAGAGCACAAAAATGCACTTCCACTGAGATCTGGACGCTATTGGCCTGAGGTGTGAGAGAGCTTCCTCAGCACCCACCTCAAATCAGCTCTCAGGGAGCCTCTCCACCTAACCCTGCTCCCAGGACACCTGCGAAGGAGGCTGATGGCACAGCACCCTGGTCCAAAGCCAGCCAGCAATTACTGGGAGCATCACAGGCTGTTCACCACCAAGGACCATTGTTGCTTCCTCTTTGCCTCTCTCCACCATTGTACTAATATGCTGATGTGGGTGCACAGGCAACCACAATGTGACACAGTAATTCAAAGCATCAGCCAAACGAAGTAACCTCTTATACTAACAGATACACAAACCAAGGCAAGAGCATCAGCAGGGATGGACGGGAGGGAGAGTTCAAGTATGTGAGTGTACTCATACTATTATTCAGGTAACACTGTAGCTATTTGACAAATGTTGATTTTTAAAAGTAAGATCCATGTCTGAATCATGCAAATGCAAGAGGAAATATCAGATCATTAACTTCTCTTTTTATTTCTCTTGATTCAGTGACCAACAGCCCCCCGACAAGGGTTCTGCCTTTTTTTTTTTGCTGTTCCATGTTGAATCCTTCTCTGCATTCAAAGCATCAGCCTCGCATGGCTGTGCCATCCTCAAGCTGCGGGTTTCCTCAAGCAAGCAGCTACAGTCAAGGGACCGGTGAGGGATCCACTGTTTAATACTCATTCATTTTAGGAACTTTGGAAATTTTCTGGGTCCACTGCTCTATAAGCAGAAAATGCAGCCTGGTTTTCAGTGGGCAGCATTTTTCTCATTTGGTTGTACCTCAGCGATTGTGGAGTAGTTCCTAAGCCACTAGCAAGGGAACCGAGCAAGTGACAAAAGATGGGGAAGGCTTCCAGCATGAAAAGCCAGCCCACACATCTGTGGTACGCAGGCCCTGCCACTCCTGACCAGTTTGAGACCCCCAGGCAGGACCTCATTTTCAGAAACAGAGCCTTTGGCAGCAGTTGAACATCACATGCCTTCGAGGATGCTACTTTGCAACAACAGTAGTTCCAAATCACTTTAGCGGCTTACTAAATTTTGGCCATGGTTTCCTAACCACAGGCAGCATGGTCATTCTGTAACTGGGGCACAGACATCTTGGTGGCCAAGGTGTTTACTTGTAACCCACAAAGTGCCAACATAAGCTTACACATATTGATTGATAGATGTGCAATGGATCCACTGTTTTTGATGCCAGAAGCTGAAGGAGTGGCCCCAAATTCTTCCTAAGAACTATGGGGCTATTTACCAGCATTTTAACTCATTGCAGCTGAAAAAAACCCAATGTAAGTATTATATATAAAAAAACCCAGTGTATTTCAAAAGCCTGCAGATCCAGACAGGAGTGCTACCTTTCCAAGTGCAAGTAAGCGGGCAGCTGGCATAAGCCCCTCACCAAATACTTTCACGGTGGTGCTGCTCTTCCGGACTCTCTCCGGGTGGTACATCACATGGCAGGAAAACACCCTGCCATCATCCATGATTTTGGTGGGGGAAATCTTCAGAGCATTATTCAAACCCAGATGGACTCTTTGCCCATACAGCGTGCTGCCGTTCCTGTACACTGCAGGAGAGGAGGCCTCCTTGGTCACAAGTTCCTCTTTCCCGCCATTTTCCCCCTGTGAAAAGAACAACCCACACAAAGTGTGAAGACCAGACACACCTCCCCCCCAAATATTTTTGTAAACCAGTTCTGTTCCTGCTATGAAAATCTTCCCTTGTACTCCTAGCATTGCCTAGTAGTAAGTGGACATGTGCAACATCTGTTTTTTTTCAAACACATTCTCTCCCAGAGCTTCAAAACCAAAAGCAGTCATCGTCTTATGAATAAACCATGGAGTAAATAGCTGTATCTTGTGAGTTCTGATCTCTGACCTACAGAGAGGGCAACAGAGCTGCTCTCTCACATAGAATCATAGAATGCTTTGGATTGGAAGGGACTTTTAAAGGTCATCTAAGTCCAACCTCCCTGCAATGAGCCGGACCATCTTCAACTAGATCAGGTTGCTCAGAGCCCCGTCCAACCTGACCTTGAAGATTTCCAGGGATGGGGTATCTACCATCTTTCTGGGCAACCAGTTCCAGTGTTGCACCACCCTCACTGCAGCAATCTTCAAGTTATGCTGAACATTCCGCACGTATTAAATCTGACTGAATTTCCAAGAAAATCCTTGCTCTTTTAGATTTTAAATAGCAAGAAATCGATAATAAAAGCTAAAGTCATCTCCTTTTAATGCCTGTGTGCCAGCCACCCTTCAGATATAGTTGCAGCTGACACATTCTGGACAGCTGTGCCTTGGTATGTATTTGCAACCTGTACTCTGAATGATGCTTGATGACCCACATATGTCGTTATGCTGACCTTTGGGTGTTTTGCCTCTTCCTCTACTGCTTTGTGGAGTGAACTAGCAACATAGAAAGTGGTAAGGACAAGGAAGTCCCCTACAAAAATTTTAAGAATTTTAGTATTAAGAATGCACTGCAAAGGGAAGGTCTAAATAGAAAATGAGCTGGGACAAAAAACTAAAAAGCCTAAAATATTTGAAAATCACCTTTAAGAAAACCTTCAACAGTTACAGCTCCTCAGTGACAATAGATAAAAATCAACGGGCAAAGCTCAAGGACGCTGCTGACTGATACTTATCTCTACGTACTGAAATTAGTGCTAAAAGGTTACATTAAAGCAAGCATCCAAATATTTATCCAGAAAGTGAGATGCAGTACAGAAATATAACGAACTTTGTATCTCACAGCAAACTGCTTAAAAATAGTTTTCATGCGGTTAGCTAGATAACTGGGTTTGCATGTCTTTGGCGTGCATCTGTAACACAGAGGTCAACAAAAACCAAAACATTACAGTCTGAGGTATTTTTTTTCTATTTCAAAGCAGCCTGATATGTCACTACCCTACTGAGTAACCGTGTATTTTTCAGAGATACTAAAGCTTCGCTACAGCAAAAATCCCTGAAAAATCCAATGCAAGGGATATTTTCATTCTGTTACATTTGCTAAGTTCTTTGCCGCTTTCCACGGACCTTCTCTACACGTTCTCCTGAAAAATTAAAAGCAATTAAGGTGGAATTTTCCCTTTTTGTTTCTTTAACAGCTATTGTTTGTGGTGTCTATGTTGCAAACCCATGTTTGTACTTTTCCCCTTTATTATCACAGTCCAGCAGGGGCTGATAAGTTTTGTTTAGCAGCTTCTGCAGGACACAGTAAAGTCAAACATTTCTATTTCAATCTGCAAAAATACCCTGTAGTTCCTTCTGAAATTTGTACCTGAGATGAAAAGTACTTACCACTAGCCATTTCAAAGGATAATTGGACAAATCTTCTGAGGTCTTGTCCTCCAGGCATGGAATTTCTAAAGTCTGGTTTAACCGCACTTCCTTCAGGTAGTGCTGCTCCTCTTTTGTCAGTGCAACAACAACAACAATAAAAAAGCCCAAGAAGGAAAATAAGAAACCCAGTGTTCATTGTGCTTTAAAAACCAATGCTGTTCCTTCTGTTGAAGGAACAGGCACTTTTTTGATTAGAAGGGAACTGTAATTTTCAACCATTACCCATAGACACGTTTGTTAAGTGAAAGCCCTGCATCTGATTCTAGATACAGTTTCATGACTCTAATTCATGGCTTTACCTGAGTTTTTGGGCAATTCATAAAATCCTTTGCTTAACTGCAGGATCAGGCTGTCTCCTTTTCAAGCTGAGAGTAATTTGAAGCTTCAGTATTTCCTCTTATAATTCTTTTCTGTGGCAACAAACCTTCACATCAATTTTGTGCACCTATATTTCCTTTTCTCTGAAGATATCCACAGCACTTCTTTTTACTAAGCAAGGTGTTCAGCATATCAGGCAGGTTAAGATTAACCCTGGTTTTCAGTGTAAGTGCTGCTTTTGTTATTCTCTGACCTGCTCACTATCGGAAGCAGAGAACTTTCCTTTGTCACTGATTTAAAAGAACATTTCAGCATCTCCTCCTACCCTACCCATTCCCAGTCCAGGGCTCCAGTCCACCTGTGGAAGGGCAGAGCGATGCACTGAACAGAGCACATCTCCGGTCCCAATGTTGGGTCTGCGTGCATGCGTGCTTTTGAGCAGAAAGAGCAGCGACGATGGCCTGGAGATGCTCCGAGTGCCTTGCTGAGCGCCAAAGTCTCCGACTCTCAGCCTGCCCACCACCGCTCTGCCACACGGACCTGATTTTCCTCGTCCCTGCCGACAGGCATGAGCTCACACCGCGGTGAAACTCTTGAGCTTTGCTCCCCTGGTAGCTCTGGCTTGTGTGTGGAGATAGAATAGATAAATATTTGGTTTATTTCTTTATCTTAAGGGGAGAGAGAACACCTAGCAGCCCCAGCTTGTTACATTATTTGGCAGTGGGGACTTTCTGATGACTGTAACTTCCTTTATGCCTGGCACCTGAGCATGAAATGACCATGCCAGCATGCAACGTGTGCCACAGGGACGTGCAGAAATCTGGCGCCCAGAGCGGTGCTGAGGAGACACAGCAGCAGAAGCAGCTCATCCCTGCTCTCCACCAGAGCAAAGCAGCTGGGGAACCAGCTATCGCAGCTGGACAGAGTGCACAAGCCCTAAAGGGGCTGGATGGTGCAGAAAGGATAAACAAAGGGCAAAGGAAGCAAATCTATAGCTTCCCAGGGAAGAAAACTGCACAGGAGACTTTGCCAGGACAAGTTACCATGCAAAAGTGCTGTGCAGCATACAAGAAGTACTAGGATGAGTAGTTGCCCCAGGAGCTTCATCTGCAAACAGCCTCTGCCTGTTCTCACAGTCACGTGTGCCAGCTGCTTGTTTTCTCTGGTCTTTGGTTCCCATCTCACTTAACAGCCTGTTGGCTAAGATCCTCCGTATTTGTCAGTCCTATGTAGGCCTGCTGCTCTGCAGGTTTTCTGTGGTATCTACAAGTAGAAGCCATCTGGATTCACTTCGCTTGGTGTGGTTGGGAGCTGTACTTCATTAATGACTAGCACCTTTCTCCATCCCACTGGTAGGCTGGATTAAGGGCTTTTACCTTCTTTGGAGTCGAAGTCGTTCATTGCAAAAGATCTGGTTACCTTAAAACACAAATCTGCAAGAGGTGTGTTGCAAACTGAAATTTTTAGTTCTCTTGAGCAAGCAGTTATCAGTAGAGCAGTTCGCTACACCATGCGCTTGCTGAAAAAAGCCACAAAGATGCTGATATGAACAAAAGCTGCCCATGTTTAACATGTAGAGAGTAGAAATGGTATTGAACGTGCTAGTATCAACCAAGGACAACCAGCAAGAGAAAAGGAGCAATGCCTGATCAGCACTATTACTATATTACGGAAGTGATAGAGTAAAATTACATGAAGAACAGAAACATGGGAAGGTTTCACATGGTTACCAGCACTGTTTGTACCTCACTGCTCTCTGCTTGATCCAGCCCCTCTGCCCTGTGAAATACAGGAAAAATCCCGCAGGGGAGCCTACCACAGCACACCCCTATACAGCAGGTTAAGTGGCAGCTGCATCCTTGACATAATCATCCAGCATGTACTGTTTAAACACACCCATCCTCTATGGGACATGCAGAGTTGCCGGCTCTAATTTTGCCTTTACAAGTTAATTGGGGCAGGAAAGTACCGCTGGGTCACCCCTGAGATCTGACTCTGGGATAACAGCACTGAAATGCTTGGAGCCGCCGCCACGCAGGGGCCATCGGGGAGCGAGATGGCAGCTTGGATTAAACGTCCCTGTGTACGAGGCTTGCATAGGACTCGGAGTTTGTTCGCCCAGAGTTGCCAGCCTGCTGCAGAGGGAGGCCACTGCTGAGGAGCCATGCGTTGTCCCTGACACCATGGAGTCAAGTCTCCTTCTGCTGCAGGACCGGCGTCCCTCTTGCCACTGGTCTGGCCTCACGATGCAGGCCAGAGAGGCTGTGGGAGCACTGCACCCATGGATGCTGCTGCCTCAGTGCTCTGCTGCCATCTGCTACCCCTCATGCCACCCGCACCCACCCTGCTCCTGACCCCCAAACCTGTGCTGCGCCTGCAGCCCTGGGCATGAGCAGGGAGAGCACACTGGCCTTGCAGCTCTGAACTGAAGCCGTGCCAGGTTTGTTGCATTTAATTTAATCCTTCTTGGCTTGTTAACAGAAAGCTGGGTCAGGAAGAGGTTCCTGGGGTCATCAAGTCCAGTCCCCTACGTGCATAACAACAAGCTTCTCCAGCTTGCCCAACTTCCCTGACCAGCTCCATCTTCATGGCAGTTTGGACTTCTGCCCGTACTGCTGGCATTAAACAGCTGTTCCCAAAGTTGCTGCATTAATGGTTGCCACTGCTGTTTAATTTGTAGTCAAATCCATTCATATCCTATTTAAACCCATTTGTACCTTTGCCAGGATAATTGAAGTATCCTCCCTGGAGTTCACACTCTCCCCTGAGGCTCACTTACCAGGAGCAGTCGTGCTGCTTTCCAGCTTCCTTTTGGCTGACTGAAGCAGCCAAGTCTCTGTTCCTATGATCATCCTAAGCAATCCCCGCTTTGCTCCCGTTCGTTTTGGAGGGTGTGGACACACATCCCTATGCTGAGCTGACACCCAGAACACCCTGCAGATGCCAGCCCTCAGCCTTGACCAGACAAGGGTGTTTTCTCTTTTGTGTACCCAGTGCTGCATGCCCATAGCAGCAGCACAGTGTGGTTTGGAGGTCCCGCATCCTCGACCCCACCATATCCTGAGCCGCTCACTCAGTCTCCTCCGCATCGTGTTTCTCTAAAATGAAAGTGTGGAAACTGCCCATCTCGCCACATTTTTCCTTACTATTTAACTTCACATTCCTCCAAACAAATACGGTTTCCTAATCAGGAACTGGATAACAACAGCTAAAGAGTGCCTGGTAAACAGGAAGCTGTGTAGACAGTGACATTCAGTGACACCATTGCAAACTCCAAACAAGTCACCATCACCAACCAAGAAATGGTCATCTATCCTAATATTCCACTCCCCGCTCAACCCCGCTACGAAAAAGCAACGTCTCTTTCGTAACCACTTACCGTCTGCCTTGACGATGAGTAGAATGCTTGCAGCCTTTGTCCCGTACGGGTAAGTAGCAAAACTGCACTCGTACTGCCCGCTGAGTGAGACGGTAATGTTTTTCAGACGCAGAGCCCACCGAGTGCACTCAGACGTGACGTTTGGATTGGGGGAACAGAAAGCCTTGGTAGCATCCCAGTCACAGCACTTCCTCGTGCTGAAGGACACCGAAAAGTTGTAAGAAGCCTCTGGAAATGTGAAGTAATGGGTGCCATAAACGGGGTGATGAACAGCTATTCTGGTAAGGTGGGTGTCACCAGTCTTGGACCACTGCGTCTGTATTATGTGGGTGGTGTGTGGTTTTGGGAAGCTGCACACCAGGGTCACATCGGTACCCGGCAAAGCGTGGAGCACTTCTGTTTGTGTAAAGACAGCTTCAGGCCGGTCTGAAAAACAAACAGGACCTGTATCATTACGCGTAACGTTTAAACAAAGCTTCCTCCTAAGCCGACTTTGACATACTTTGGTGCCTTAGCCACAGATGACCACGAAGACCCTACAACTGTAACAGCAGGCTTTCCAGTGAGGAGCTTTACAGCAGATCTCCACCAGTGCAAACAGTAGAGAGAGGACCAGGAGCAGAAATGTGCACTTGTCTGGAAGTGTGGGGTGGTCCTGTCACGCTGGCGGGAGAGAAATGGGAGCTCTGAGGGCCTCGGTGAAAATGGAAATCTTTCAAGTGAAATAAATGAAGCAGAAGCTGGGACCAGTATTCACCAGCTATTTTTGTGAGAACAAATGAGTTATCCCTGCGGGCTAATTCTGCCCTGCACGGTTCCCCCTGCCCGTTTTCATTGCCTTTTCTGCTTCAACAGAGAAAGCTGTTCTTTTACCTCCATATTATTAAACAGCTCCTGCGTGGCCTAAACAAGCATCTGTTTCGGTGTCAGAGCGAGCTGCCCAGGTAGGTATGGTTTCTTTCTCAATTAATTTCATAAAGCATGTTGGCAGTCCTTAGTGTGCCATATAAAGGAGTAATGGATCGGTGAAATGAAGGGGCTTTCAACAGGAGCCTGTACTACTTGGTTTTGCTGCTGTATAGTAAAATCGATTTCTCTCCCTTTCTGTCTCCTATGAACAAGAGGCTCGCAGTCCCCAAACCCCTGCATGCAGGGCACTGACAGACTCCAGGACATGAAGACTTCATGGATGAAGGAGTCTTAGGTACAGACTTGTTGCCTCCCGTTTTCACTGGATTTTATCCTCCCTGTGTATCAAAACACCACTGTGAATTTGCTTTGGGAACTTGCCCTGCAGTCACACCAGCCATACCACCGACTCCCCATGGCAGCAAGTGCTCACTGCTCACCTTCATTACTTGAAAAAAGCGGGTACCAGTTTCTTTGCTTTGGCTTCTGCTCTGCCATGTGGTACAGGGCTGCAGGGTGAGGTAGCCAGGGGCTGCCCTGCCAGGGCCAGGCAGCCTCCACAGTACTTGTGGGGGGGCCTGCGTGCCCCACGCTCGGCTGGCTCTGTCGGGAGCGAGCCAGGGAGCCGGCGCACCCGCAGCTCCCGTCTGACAGGGGAGAAGAACGAGGGCAGAATCCCATATCCCTGCAGAGCTGGCTGGGATTTGGTGCCTAACCACTGAAGCGTGACTTGAACACGCAGAGACTGGGTGCATGCAGAACAAAGCTACTGAATGGCCATGGCCAACATTAATCTCTGTTTTTTATTGCTGTGCATGCTCTGTTCCTCTTTTAATTGACTTCCAAGAGATGTGATGACGTCAGAGGGTACATAAAAATAAGCCTGAGTGACAAGTGCTGTGAGAAAAATTACCAAAAACTATTTTTGTCCGTCCAAGGAGCTCATTATAGCAAATGCTTGCTGATTTCACCGCAATTTTCGCATCACTAAAAGTTAAGTAAAAAGCAATTAATGATCTCACGACAAGATTAGCAGGCAAGGGACACCTAGCACGTTATCTCTCATATTCACACTGATGCTGTATTAGATCAAAAGACCATGTAAAGAAGCCTACCAAAAATTACTTGAATATGTTATATTAAGATGAAAAAGCTGCATACGTAGAAACAACATTTTAATTGAATTTGTGTTGTTTCTTAGTAGCCTAGCACTTTAGGTTATTTTGACTGAAATGCTTTTGTGCAAAAGTATTCTTAACTTTTTGTTAGCATCTCAATATAATTAGTCTAATTTTATGCCAACTTTATTTTTCCAAATCAAATACTGTTCCTTAGCCCATACTTGTGCACCAGCTGAACTTTAACAGAGTAACTCCCAGACACTGAGATATCTGATCTCCACAAAGGGCATGGTGGTGTCCACTTTCACATTTGAGCGACTTCAGTAAGGATTTCATCCTGAAAGGAAAAAACCCAACAGTCCTGTTTTTCCCTAAATAGTGTTGTTTTCCCACATGTACATGTCTTGAGGCTTCTAGTTCTTTGCATCTGAGAACTTCGATTGTCTGTGAATACACAAATGAATTATTTTCCTTTCTTCCACATCCCAGTTTGCCCCAGTGATGTAGAAAATAGGAACAGCCTATGCCAGATTTTGAGATACATCTTGCCATGCCAAATACATGAACTTCTTACTTTCTTAGTTGGAAAAATGTGTATCCTACAAAATTCTACTTCCTAGCTGGCAATAAGTACTCCTGCATTTAGCATGGTCAGCCTGTTGGGGGTGGTGGGGTGTGGTGATGGAGAAGCCTGTGAACATCAGGCTTTTTCTTGGCTTTCCTCAGGTCGTTTTTGGTTTAAACTCCCTCTGACAGGTACGCAGTTCTCCTTACTCAACTTTTCTGAAAGTTTTACTCCAAATGGCAAGCTTGTTTCTCAAGCCTTTAATGCAGCACGTAGCGCTGGGTGGGGAAGAGGAAGGGAAGAATTTAAGGGGTTGCAGCTGTACAATTTATCCTTGCCTTTAGGTGTTTCAACTCTTCCTCTCTCAGCCTACATGTGTGTGTGAGAGAGAGAGAGAGGGGGGTAAATTTTTTAATTGCTCTTTGAAAACAGTTTTCTTTTTTGTCCATTGGAGATGAGCACATTGCTCTAAACACAAGTGAGGTCATCTCAGTAATTATGCTGGTGAAAGCAGGTTAAGTATTTTGAATAAACTAATCTGCTAGTCAGCACAAGCTGTTTACTCCTTACTAGCTGCACATTATAACCAGGGCTATTAGCAAGCTGTCAGGAAATAGAAAGTCATTACGAGCAGACACAGCTTACCCTAGTGAGACACACGATCCCCAGCCTGCACATCACCACCCTGCCCCTCATCATCCTCCCTCACAAGCAGAGGCAAGGCGTCCGGACACGCTTACCTGCAACGCTGGGCACCGAGAACAAACACAAGAGGGAGAAGAGCCAGCTTTTTTCCATCTTCGCTTGGTGAAGTTTTGGTAAAGACGTAGCGCTCTCGGCCTGCTCCTGGCAGCCTCTCAGAAAAGGAAGTCGAATTGGTCTGCCCTGGGCAGGCAGGCAGATGTGCAGCACCGTCAGGCTCATCGTTTTAGCGTGACTTCAAAGAAATGCTTCATTAAATGCGAAAGCCTCAGTTTCCTGCCGGAGCGATAAAATTAGTACATCTTGTGAAACCTTTATGCTGAAAACACTACCTATGCTGTAAGCTCATGTTCAAAACTATTCATTTTTTTTTCCTTTGTCTTTTCAGATAAGCTCAGAGTAAGCAATTTACTGGGTTAAACTCGCTTAAAAGCTTGTCAGGTGTCTAAAATTGAACCTCTGGTACAAAGCGCAGAAAAAAGCTGACTTCTCCCCCCTTCTC